GACTGCACATACGATTTTAAATACTAATCTCTGAACTAGAATGATTATATCAAATGTGTTGTCCTAATACAGTGTCGACCTCCTACGTGAGACTTCCATAGACGTTAGGTCATTCACAGAATACATAAATTTTTTAGTTTAAATGAAGTGTTCCAACTAAGAATTTTTATATTTTCACATAGCATTTGTTGTCCCTGGAGAACTACAGCGAAAATGGAATTTAAGCCCTGAGATTGTAAATTACTGCAAATGATTTAATAAACCATTGATAAAAATGCTTCCTGTATACTATTTTATTTCTAATGAGCAGTAGTTCCAAGCGGTTATGAAAACATTCGAAACGATGACTAACGGAGTTCAGAAAATCACCCTTTACGCAAAATAAGGTATGAAAACAGGGGAAAACAATTTATCGGCCAAACTATTTTAATTTTACAGCGCTCGTAAACTGATCCAGTGTTTTCGTCGTATTTAAACATTTCACATTTTGCGATTACTCTAAGAGATTAATTTCTTACTAAGATCACAGTTTACTTCACTGTGTATGTTAACTGTTGAGATTTTTTTTAAAAAAATAACCTATGGATGGGGAGAAGGGGACAAAATATTCTTATAAATAGAAATAAATGATAAGGCGTGTCATTCCTACGAAAAGGGAAAAATATAACAAATTATAAGAATCAAAATTATACAGAAATGAAAGATTTAAGGGAACTGAAAAATTTTTTTACTCAAAATTGTATCACCCAGAACTATAATAAAACAAATATTTTTTAAGTACAAAAAAAGATTTTGATTTTGAACTTATAAATATATTCCTATATACAAAATTCTGTAAGCAATTATTATGTGAGAGGTTGAAACCACGTAGACGTTTTCAAGTGGGCGCCCCGAAACGGTCCCAGACATACCAAATATTACATATCAAAGACGATCAATAATTTTTATGAAAAAATTAATCAATTATAACTTACATCATGCAGATTCTGTATAGTACGTCCCAAATCTTCTGCCGTGTTGTTGAAGGATGTCGACGTCGAGGTTCGAATAAATTCGGGAGTGTTCTTCACCAGCGATCTGGGTAAAAAAGAATTGTTCAATAAATGATCACAAAATCTGTGAGGGAGTTAAGGAGAACACCCATAAAAATGTTGACCACTGAAGAGATCGGAGGGACCAGTTCGACTAATCCTGGGATCAGAATGGACCCCAAAGGCCCAACCCCCGAAGACAAATTACTATTAGCCAGTCAGAAGAACATGTAGTTTGTGAGAACACAGATAGATGGCAGCACATTCTAAGCTCAAATCTGTGACAGATAACAAGAAACTGAATACTGGTGGCAACCCTGTATGGGCCAAGATCCCAAGCCCTGGGGAAAGATTTCATTCTAAAACCCCAGGGGTGTCAAACCTAGTGGGAAAGCTCAAGAAGTTCAAGGCTTGGAGGTGGCCTAGCAGTGCGAGTGGCATGCCCAGGGTGGTCTAACGACCCAGGATGACGGAAGCGCTC